ATCATCACTATTAAAAGCTGGAAAATGACTTTGGAACATAGCCTAACAAGAACTTGGCATCTGCCTCTCATTTTGGCCTTGTTGATGCTCTCGAGAACTGCATCCTGGTCAATCATGCCAGCATAATGTTGACACATAAGAATGGCAGCTTAATGATATTACATTGTGTAGACATACTGTGTTTTGTTCATCCCTTCATTTTTTGCTGTCAGTTGGTTTGCTTCCTAGGCTTTAAAAATTTTTTTAATTGATTAATTTTATTTTTTGGCTGCACTGTGTCTTTGCTGCTGTCCTCAGGCTTTCTCTAGTTGCAGCAGGTAGGGGCTACTCTCTAGTTGCGGTGTGTGGGCTTCTCATTGCCGTGGCCTCTCCTGTTGTGGAGCACAAGCCCTGGGTATCACAGTCTTCAGCAGCTGCGGCTCCTGGGCTCCAGAGCACAGTGTCAATAGTTGTGGTGCACGGGTTTAGTTGCTCTGAGGCATGTGGGATCCTCCTGGAACCAGGGATCGAACCCTTGTCTCTAGCACTGGCAGGCAGATTCTTTACCCCTGAGCCCCCAGGGAAGCCCCCCGTCCCCACAGGCCTTTTGAGTCTTCTGAATTCGGCACCCCGACCAGTTCTTATCCATTTAAATTAATAAATGACAATATTTTAAAAATTAGCCCAGCACCTGGCATGAAATGAGTCAGCAACTGGAAGTTATGTGTTTATGACCATGGGGAAACAAATGGGCCCCTTGGCTGGCTCCACGTGCTCCCTCCTCCTCAACCCCGCCATTCTCCATTCCGGAACACTCCTGCCTGGGAAGCTGCATCTCCTCTGAGCCTCCCCGACGCTGGCCCAGCCCAAGGCCAACTCTAGAGATGTTTGATCTGCCCACTTCAGAGCCTTCATCTGGGGCCTGCAGCCCATCAGAGGTGGCCGGAACTGGGAATCCTCCCCACATGGGCCTTTGAGGATAAGATGAAAGAGGCTGGGGATCCTCCCCAGAGGACCCTTTGAGGATGGGGTGAAAGAGGCTGGGCTGGGTCGGGAAGAGGCGTAAGCAGAAGGGAGCCCAAGAGACAGAGAAGGCAGGCCTTTCTGGTGATGACCAGGGCATTTACTGAGCACCTGTTGTGTACCCAGGCTTGTGCTGTGCAGTGCTGGAGACACAGTTGTGACTGGCTCTGACTTCACAGGGCAAAGAGGGAGACAGGTCTGTGACCAGGGAACTACAACCTAGAGTGAACAGGATTAGGGTGAGGGAGCCTAATGCAGTCAAGGAGGGCTTCCTGGAGGAGGGGACACCCAGCTCCTTGCAGAGTCTCTGACATCCCTCATGGAAACCTACCTTTATGGCTGCCTCTGATGACACTTTCCCTCACTCCCTCGAATGTAGCCACACTGGCCTTCTTTCTGATTCCACAACTCTCTGAGCTCATTCGCATCCTCTGAGCCATCATACTTGCTGTTCCCTCCTCCTGATTCTCTTCCCAGTTCTTCACCAGGTGAGCTCCTCCTCATTCAGACTGCAGACCACTTACCCTTGCAGTTTTTAGTTCTTTTAAAGAATTCTCTTGTTTCTAGTTCCTACTGACTCCTTTGTTTCCTGCCCTTCCCAGCTAGGATGTGGCCTCTCCTTATCACTTGCTCCCTGACCCCTGGCAGGACGCCTGACAAACCCCTGATGCCTGGTAAATCTGTGATGTCAAGGAAGGAAGCTAAGACCTCCGGGCTAAAGCAGGGTCCAGGGGAGAAGCAGGGGAAAGGAGTTCCAGGCAGAGGGAACAGAAGGGACAAAGGCACGGAGCCTTTGGAGAGGCAGTTGGTGTTTCACAGGCGCTGGGGAGGTGGTGTGGGGCTGGAGGGAGGCTCCAGACGAGGGAAGCCGGGAAGCGGGAGGAGGAGGCGGGGAGAGGAGCAGGGAGCGGGAGGAGAGAGAAGGAGGTCGGAGGATGAGTGGGAAGGCAGAGGGAGAGCAAGAGAGAGGAGCTTTTATCCGCTGATGCTGACTGGGTGGGGAAGGTGGACTCTCAACGGGGATCTTTTTACGTAGAAGCGGAGTTGCCTTTTTTTGGGAGACCCGCCTGTCTGGCTTGCAAAAACCCCAGGCTTGAGGGACAGGCCTGGCCTCCCAGAGCCTTCTAAGGGCTTTATGGAGAACATTCCACAGTCGGACCTTCTGGAACAGGCCATGAAGGCTTGGCAGCCGTATCCGCCCTCGCTCCCGGGTCACTGCCCTGGCCTCCTCCTGGCTCAGGCTTGTTCTCTTCCGTGTCCTAGCTCCCCATGGCAGCCGGTGGCAGTACTTTTAATAGAACACTTGAAAAAAAAAATTAATAGGTAATTAAAGGCACATGGCACAGATTTCCAAAGGTACACAAGGGATACAGCGAAACCTTTCTCGTCTTCGTTCCCCCGGAGCGCTTCCTGCCTGCGAGGCTCTGGGGCCGGCAGTCTCTTGGATTTTCTCCCAGAGACTGTCTGTCATATGTAAGTACAGCTAGGGGAATATTATTCAGGTTATTTACACGATTCTGCAGCTTACTTAAAAAAATTTTTTTTGTTCATTTTTTAAAAACTGACCTAGAGTTGATTTACACTGTTGTGTTAGTTTCTGGTATACAACAAAGTGAGTCAGATATATATGTGTGTGTGTATTTTCAGATTGTTCTTCATTTTTGGTTATTGTTGCTGTTATTGTTCTGTTGCCAGGTCGTGTCTGACTCTGCGTGACCCCGTGGACTGGAGCACGCCAGGCTTCCCTGTCCTTCACCACCTCCCAGAGTTTGCCCAAGTTATAGGTTATTACAAGAGATTGAACAGAGTTCCCTATGCTATATACAATAGGTCCTTGTTTATCTATTTTATATATGGGAGTTTGTACCTGTTAATCCCAAGCTCCTAATTCATCCCTCCCCACTTTCCCCTTTGGTAACCATAAATTTGTTTTCTGTGTCTGATTCTGTTTTTTAAATAAGTTAATCTTTATTTATTTATTTATTTGGCCACAGTGAGGCTTGTGGGATCTTAGTTCCCCAAGCAGGGATCCGACCGAGACCTCAGCAGTGAAACAACTGAGTCCTGCCCACTGGTTGTTATTGTTGTTGTTCAGTTGCTAACTCGTGTCCACTGGACCACAGGGAATTCCCCATCTGTATGATTACTTTTTAGATTCCACATATAAGTGATAGCATATGATATTTGTCTTTCTCTGTCTGACTTACTTCACTTAGTATGATAATCTCTAGATTCATCTGTGTTGCTGCAGATAACATTACTTCATTCGTTTTTTATGGCTGAGTAGTATTCTGTTCTGTCTATGTACCACATCTTCTTTACCCATTCATCTGTTGATGGATATTTAGGTGGCTTCCATGTCTTGGCCATCATAAATAGTCTATGCTTCATTTTTTTACCTAAGTGTATACTCATTTATTCAATAAATATTTATTGAGCACCCTATATGCCCAGCACTCTTCTAGGCACTGGAGTTAAAGCAGAGAAGAAAACAGACAGAAACCCCTGCCTTCAAGGAGCTAATATTCTAGTGGGGGAGACAGACAGTCAATGAATAAAATGACAAGTACTTTTTTTATTTGGCTGCAGGGTCATGTGGGGTCTTAGCACTGCATGTGTGATCTTAATTCCCAGACCAGGGATCGAAGCCACGCCCCCTTCATTGGAAGTGTGGAGTCTTAACCACTGGATCACCAGGGAAGCCCTGGCAGGTATTAATACATTTTAACATTACATAGTAGGTTGGCTTCCCTTGTAGCTCAGTCGGTAAAGAATCTGCCTGCAGGGCAGGAGACCCAGGTTCAATCCCCGGGTTGAGTAGATCCCCTGGAGAAGGAAATGGCAACTCACTCCAGTATCCTTGCCCGGAAAATCTCATGGATAGAGGACCCTGGTGGGCTGCAGTCCATGGGGTCGCGAAGAGTCAGGCACAACTGAGCGACTAACACTTAAACTTAGTAAGTCGGATAGCATAGTCAGTGCTGTTGCTAAAACATAAGGCAAGCAAAGAAGGTGGAGTGTTGAGGAGGCTGGAAGGTTTCTATTTTTTTTTACAGGGTGGGCAGAGAAAGCCTCAATAAAGGTGACATTTGAGTAAAGGCCTGGAGGAGGTGAGGAAGCGAGTTGTGTGGGTTAAGTGAGATGGAGAGGGGGAATAGCAAGCGCAAAGGCCCTGAGGTAGATGTGAGCCTGAAGTGTTCCAGATCCATCCTGGAAAGGAGAAGTAACGGGGAAGGCATGTGTATATGTCGGGAGTGAGATACAGTCCTGCAGAGCCTCGTCCATAAATTGACTTTGCTGTTTCATCTTGGAACTGTTCCGTGGTGTGTCGGTGCCAACTTGTAAGTTTGTGAGAGCTGATTGCTAAACTTCCTGGAATTGTGCAAGCCTGTCATTAAGGATAGCTTTTTACTAAAACTTAAATTATAAAAACTTACAACTCAATAAGTTTGTACATTGCCTGGGAAATCCACTGGACAGAGGAGCCAGGTGGGCTACAGTCCATGGGGTGGCAAAGAGTTGAACATGATTTAACGACTAAACAACAATAAATTCTATTATGCATAACGATAAGTAGTCACAATTTATCACTTCTTAACTGTTATCCTAAAGGAAATCAATCCTGAATATTCGTTGAAAAGACCGATGCTGAAGCTGAAGCTCCAGTACTTTGGCCACCTGATGCAAAGAGCCGACTCATTAGAAAAGACCCGAGAAAGACGCCGAGAAAGATTGAAGGCAGGAGAAGGAGGGGACGACAGAGGATGAGATGGTTGGATGGCATCACCGACTCAATGGACATGAGTTTGAGCAAACTCTAGGAGAAGATGAAGGACAGGGAAGCCTAGCATGCTGCTGACAATGGGGGGACAAAGAATTGGACACAACTGAGCAACAACAGCTGTTATACTACATCTTACTGCTATCTTTGCTCTAAAGGTTATGAAAATCTCACATCGTGGTGAGCTATTGAGGAGATCTTCCGAGTTCTGCCTTCAATGAGGCCATGTTGGGAGCTTACCATCAGTTGTGATAGAAGTATTAACACTTCCGTGCGTGCCTGTGTGCTAAGTCACTTCAGTCATGTCTGGTTCTGTGACCCAATGGACCGTAGCCCGCCAGGCTCTTCTGTCCATGGGGATTCTCTGGGCAAGAAAAATGGAGTGGGTTGCCATGCCCTCTTCCAGGGTGTCTTCCCGACCCAAGGATCAAACCCACTTCTCTTATGTCTCCTGCCTTGGCAGACAGGTTCTTTACCACTAGTGCCGCAGACACTGGCAAACGCTACATGTCAGGGCTGTTTCTTCCCCCAGAGAGCTGGCAGTTAAACATTTACCAGCCCACCAACCTAATACGTAGCGACGTGGCTCATTCTTTTGTAAAGCTGCGTAGTACTCCAATGCACGGGTGGGCCATGGCATAGTTTGCTGCTCCCTTCCTGACGGTTGTTTGACTAGCATCCAGTCTCTTACGCACACAGTGTTGATTTCCCACGTGTGTTCCTGTAACTGTAGAATCAACTCCTTGAGGAACTGCTGTGTCAGAGGCCATGGGACCTTCTAATGTGAATGCCTCTTGCCTAATACATCTCCATGGAGGTTGTACCAATATCCACAACCTCCAGCAAATGGGTCAGAGTGCAGAGGCTTCTTCTAAGGACGCAGATTTGATTGTGTCACTCTGCTGCTTAAATCCTTAGATGACTTCTGCTGCTCCCAGGACAAAGCCTTCGGGTTTTTCCCAAGGTCTAGGCCTCTCATCATCAGGCCTCGTCCTGTTCTTTCTGCGAGTGGAGGGTGGCACCATGACCCTGCTGTGACCCCTCGTAAATTCCACATCGCAGCCACCTTGATCATCTGCTGTCTATTCCCTGAAATGGGCCGTGTTCCCACCCACTCTTGTTTGTTCATGACTGTCCCTTCCCTGGGAATTACTTCCCAGCATCTTAATCAACTGGCTAACTCCCACTCCATCGGTTCTGTCCCTTAAAAAAAAAAAGTTTATTTTAGTTTTGGCCACGGTGCACAGCATGTGAAATCTTACTTCCCCAACCAGGGATTGAACTTATGCCCCCTGCAGTGGAAGCTCAAAGTCCTAACCACTGGACTGCCAAGGAAGTCCCAATTATGTCCCTTTTTGTTTCAAGAAGCTGAAAATCCCAAGGTAACTGTCTTCTGCAAAATTGGGAGCTGATCAGCTCATCTGAGTAAAGAAATCATTGAGTCAACTGGTTTCAGGCATAGCTGGTTTCAGGAGTTTGGATGATCCCATGAAGCCAGTTTTGGCCTGTTAGTTCTGTTCTCTTCAACACCGGGACCCTTTGGCACCCCTGGCTTCAGAAAGATGGCTCAGCAGGTGGAGAATCCACTTGCAACGAGGGAGATGCAGGAAATGTGGATTTGATCTCTGGGTCAGCAAGATCCCCTGGAAGAGGGTATGGCAGCCCACTCCAGTATTCTTGCCTGGAGAATCCCATGAACAGAGGAACCTGGTGGGCTACAGTCCATGGGGTCGCAAAAGAGTCGGACACAACTGAACTGATGGAGCACACACGCCTTTAAAAAACTCCCTCATGGTCAGAGGAGGCAAAGAGTTAGAGATGGAAAAGAAGGATCTAGGCAGAGAAAATAGCCCAGAACTGTTGTTCGTAAACCCAGATCCTGACTGGGCGTGGTGGATAACCTGACAGGTTCATAACATCCTGCAGGGTGAACTCCAAGAAGACAAATTCTTGCCCGCATGCTAATTCTTCAACTGAAGGGACATCCCTGATGATCTACGAGCTAAGACTTCACATTACCAGTGCAGGGGGCCTGGGTTCAATCCCTCATCAGGGAGCTAGATCTCGAATGCTGCAACTAAAGGTCCCAGATGCATGTATGCTCAATTGCTTCGGTCATGTCCGACTCTTTACGACCCTATGAACTGGAGCCTGCCAAGCTCCTCTCTGTCCATGGAATTCTCCAGGCAAGAATACTGGAGTGGGTTGCCAAGCCCTCCTCCAGGGGATCTTCCCGACCCAGGGATCGAACCCCAGTCTCTCACATCTCCTGCATTGTCAGGCGTGTTCTTCACCACTAGCGCCACCTGGGAAGCCCCAACTGAGATGCAGCACAGCCAAATAAAGAAATAAATAAATGTTTTGAGAAAAATAAATAAATTCTTCAACTGAGAGGCAAGGTGGGAAGAGCTGCTTGGGTTCTGAAGGTAGAAAACCTGGGGTGATGAAAAATATTCAGAACCAGGTAGGGATGATGGTTACACAACAGTGGGAGTGTGTTCAAGGCCACTGAACCGGACACTTGAAAATGGTTGACAGGGTCAGTGTCACGTTATGTATCTTTTACCACAGTAGAAAAGTAATGAGGCTGACAATGCTAAAAAAAAAAAAAAAAAAAAAAATAGAATAAAAACACAAAGAGGAAAAAAAGCCTGATGCTACCACTTACCAACCATACGACTTCCCTGTTGTTGTTCAGTCGCGTCCAGCTCTTTTTGACCCCATAAACTGGAGCACACCATACTTCTCTGTACTCTTGTTTATTGGACTATAAAATGAAGACAATAATAGGACCCCACCACCACCACCACACCTGCTTATTTAGAGCCTCAGGTAGATTAACACATGTACAGTCTTTGGGGTAGTACCTGGGATCTAGTTAAGTGTTCAGTAAATATTAGTTTTTATGGTTAAATCAAAATAGTGGGTGGATGGCCCTGTGAAATAAGCCAGATGCAAAAGGTTACTGCCTTAGCTTGTTCGGGCTGCTACTCTAACAAAAAGCACAGATGGGGTGGCTTATGAACAACATAAATGTATTTCTCAAGACTTTCCTGGAAGTCCAGTGGTTAAGACTCTGCTTTATCAATGCAAGGGGCATGCGTCTGAACTCTCTTAGTTCCTGGCAAGATACAGGAACTAAGATCCTACAAGCTGAGTGGCGTGACCAAGAAAAAAAATTTTTTTAATGTATTTCTCACAGTTCTGGACTGCAAGTCCATGATTGGGGTAAATGGTTGGCTAAGGGTGCTCATCTGGGTTGTAGACTTCTCACTGTATCCTCCTCACATGGGCAGAAGGGGTGAGGCATCTCTCTGGAGCCTCTTTAATAAGGGCACTAATCCTAACCTTCAGAGAAGGCAATGGCACCCTACTCCAGTACTCTTGCCTGGAAAATCCCATGGATGGAGGAGCCTGGTAGGCTGCAGTCCATGGGGTTGAGAAGAGTCAGACATGATTGAGTGACTTCACTTTCACTTTTCACTTTCATGCATTGGAGAAGCAAACGGCAACCCACTCCAGTGTTCTTGCCTAGAGAATCCCAGGGATGGAGTCGCACAGAGTCGGACACGACTGAAGTGATTTAGCAGTAGCAGTAGCAATCCTAACCTTAGGGCACCACCCTCATGACCTAATGACCTCCCAAAGGCCCTACCTCCTAACATCGTCATCTTGGGGGTTACATTTTTTTTTCTTTACATGCATATATATCTATATTTTTAGCTTCTTTTCCTTTATGGGTTATTACAAGATACTGAGTATAGTAGGCCCTTGTTGGTTGTCTATTTTATGTATGTGTGTGTGTGTGTGTGTGTGCAGGCGCACATGCATGCTGTGGTGTGTATATGAGGTTTCCCTCATATACAGGTGGTGTCATTGATAATGAATCCATCTGCAATGCAGGAGACGCAGGTTTGATCCTTGGATTGGGAAGATCCCCTGGAGGAAGGCATGACAATCCACTCCAGTATTTTTGCCTGGAAAATCCCATGGACGGAGGAGGCTGGTGGGCTATAGCCCATGGGGTTGCAGAGTTGGACACAACAACTGATTGACTGAGCATGCATGCATACATATATAATACATTAATATAATACATACATAATCACAAACTCCTAATTTATTCTTCCCCCTTTCCTCTTTGGTAACCATCAGTTTTTGTTTTGTTTTTTTCCTATGTCTGTGGGTCTATTTCTGTTTTGTATATAAGTTCATTTGTATTATTTTTTAAGATTCCACAGGTAAGTGATACCATATGATCTTTGTCTTTCTCTAACTTCACTTAGTACAATAATCTCTAGGTCCATTCATGTTCCTGCAAATGGCATGATTTCATTCTTTTTTTTTTTTTAGGATTAAAGGTGATTTTTTATTTTATACTTCATTTCATTCTTTTTTTTATCACTGGGTAATATTTCTTGTATAAATACACCACATTTTCTTTATCCATTCCTCTGTTGATGGACATTTAGGTGGCTTCCATGTCTTGGCTATTGTGAATAGGGCTGCAATGCAAATTTCAACATATGAAATTGGGCAGTGGGGGAGATGCAAATACTCAGACTATCACAGTCACATATTGTAGGATTCCATTTGTCTGAAAACATCCAGAATACTCAAATCCTTAGAGACAGAAAGTAGACTAGCGGTCGCCAGGATCCGGTGGGAGGGGACGCAGAGTGACTGCTGGATGGGTGTGGGGTTTCCTTTGGGAAGATGATGAGAATGATTTGAAACTACCTAGAGGTGATGGTTGTGCAACATTGTGAAGTTACTAAAGCCCGTTGTGTCATACACTTTAAAATGGTTGATTTTTATGTGAATTTTACCTGAAAATTTTTTTTCCATTAGTACTTTGGGAAAAAAATGGATGGAATGTATCTTGATGTCCTTCTCAGGCTGCGAAGCCTTGAGACTTCGTTGTCCTGAATGGATTGGGCCCTTCTCTCTTCCAGGGACTGATAAACCACCCCTACCCAGGGCCTTAGCTGGCTTGGCTTACAACTCATCCTCTGGGTCTTGCAACAATTAGCTGTGGGTCTTTGAAACTCAGTTTCCTTGTCTGTACCCAGAGGAACTTGGACCCATTGGTTTCTCTCTTTTTTTGGTCATTCTGTGAGGCTTTCAAGGGCTTCCTAGGTGGCTCAGTGATAAAGAGTCCACCTGCCAATCCAGGAGATGCTGGTTTGATCCCTGGGTTGGGAAGAGCCCCTGGAGAAGGAAATGGCAACCCACGCCAGTATTTTGGCCTGGGAAATCTCATGGACCGAGGAACCTGGCAGGCTACAGTCCATGGAGTTGCAAAGAGTCAGACATGACTGAGTGACTGACCATGCATGCACACACACATGTGAAGCTTGTAGGATCTTAGTTCCCCAACCAGGGATTGAACCTGGGCTATGGCAGTGAAAGCGCTGAGTCCTAACCACTGGATCTCCAGGGAATTCCCCAGACCCATGGTTTCCAATGTGTTCTTAGATTTCACAGGCCCAGGCATTACTTGAGCCCAATGCCGAAGCTGAAGCTCCAATCCTTTGGCCACGTGAT